GAAGATGAAACCGGCGTTGTTTTCGTATCAAATGAGCGTGTTAAAATATCATTCAAGAGAAACATAACTCTTGAGGAGCTGATAACGAAGATTTCGAGAAAGATTCATGTTGGAAGTAGTAGAAGAATATCGTCGTTGCAGTACAGATTTCCAACATCATTGTTGCCATTAACTTATACAACGTTCGAACTTTCGAACAATGATGATGTTCAAATGATGGTTGAAGCTCAAAGTAATTATTCAGACGCCGCTATTAAGATGTATTCACATTTTGTTCAAGTGCGTGTTGTTCGGGGTCAATCTTTAAGCTCACACTATGGGTTGGCTGAACAAGTTGATCAAGTTGACAGCCCGACTACAGTAATGTGTAATGATTTTAATGCCATAATAGGGAGACATTCATCCGCAACTCCTTGCGATATGTACCGAGGTGGGTCGACGAACAATCCGTATGGCAACATCGTGTCCAGTTCAAGGGGAAGACATTCATCTGCAAATCCCTTTGACCTTAATATGGAGATACCATTGACGCAACAATCTGTGCAGTTTCCATTTGACACGGTGGCTTCAAGCTCCATGGGGAGGTATTCGACTGCGAGCTTTTTCGATCTGAATGTCGATATGCCTTCCAGTGCAAGTAGTAGGTTCTTCGACCTAAATTTGGAGAGCATGGAGGAACCATCATCTCCACCAGAAGAACCGCTTTGCTGAGACTGGACTATTCATTCACCCAGAATCACAGCAATTCAACTCCGATGATGATGAAGTTCCAGGAAATGTGGCACAAACTAACCCTCCTGCACAAATGTATGAAGCTGATTATGGTGCAATGTACGAGCCAGAATTTGCGGATATGCCTCATGTCGGTGACTATAGATATTACTCATCAATAAATAATGGTGAGTTATCTTTAGGCATGGAGTTTTCAAGCAAAGAAGAAGCGATGATGGCTATCAAAAATTACAATATCCGTAATTCTGTTCAGTCCAGAGTAAACCGAAAAATATGTATGCTACTGTGCCCGACGCGAAAACGAATATTAAATTTTATCAAACTAATAACAATTTGATATTTAAATACAACAAACTTACAATAAGAATTAAATGGTAAATGATAACCAAATTACAATAACTGATATTAAATGGTAATAAACAAAATTAACTGAAATATATTAAAAAAATCCAACAAATTTAACAAAATAAAGTAAGTATTAAATGAGAAATAAAAAAATTATAATTAAACAAAATAAAGTAAATACAAATATAATAAAAAATCTATCGATGTCTGCGTCGCGAATGTGTTCCGCATGGCAGTGGCTGTCATCTCAATGAGTATTTCTTCATATCATTGGTTCTGACTCCTCGCTGTCATCATCATCGTCGTCGTCTTGAGCAGGTACATTAGGTTGATGAGGAGCTGATGATGATGAAGAACCTCCATATAATAAGGACCCTGGAGGTGTATGACTGACTATCCCACCGGCCTGCGAAAACTGGGAAAACCCAGACATCGATGAGTGTGAAAACTGTACAAGAGGTGTGTGCTGCGGCCATGAGTGATGAGGCTGAACCCGCCAAATATCCAGCATATGAACCCCAAGTCAAATCTACAAATATATACCCATAATAGCCTCCAAGAGGGATCATCTGTTACGGTGGTGGTGGCGGGGTCATAAAACCAGGTGAAGGTGGCGACGGCGACATCTGGTAATGAAAAGGTGATGACATTATAATATATGGTTGCGGCATCATATATGGCTGCGGTGGCTGCTGGGAAGGTCCTGTTGGTGCAGCTGAGGATGAACCGGAAGCACCAGCTCTCCATCCACGAGTCGGGGGACGATGGTGCTGTGTCGGTGAACGTCTCTGTCGACGTCGTAGAAAGGTCTGCCCTCGTGCATCATCGGGAAGTAGAAACGGTTTCCCGTTACTGTTGAACCACTCATAATAATCCTCAGCATACATCAAGAAGTCAGTAAAAATGGGCTCTCTACGTGGAAGGCGCCGATGTCGATCCTCCCACAACGCGACCCACTCATGATGCCTCACCAGCCAATCTTTATCTGTCTTGTCGCGTCTATCTAAGCTATGCAACTCGTCCATATTGCGAGGTGCTTCCGGAATTGGTTGAAAACAACCAAACTGTCGGAGCACACAATCAGAGGAGTGCCACTCGACGGTCGCATAACAGATCAGAGGGACCATCGCCATCCAAACATATGATGGACCCCTCAACTCAGGTGGGATCACCGCCCTCACATCATCAGTAGAATATGACACTCATTCAAACTAAAACAAATAATATATAATTTTTATCAAAATAATAATCTAATTATATAACTATAATCTAAAATCGATTTTTAAACATTAAAATTCATACCTGTGTGCCAGCCTATTTTTTTCTAAACGTTAAAATCGATTAGCACCCTAATTTTTTCTAAATCATCAGGTAGCTCCTGATGATTTTTCCTATCAGTAGACCACCTATTCAAGGAAAAAAATTTGTTATACGCTGTATAAATTTATTAATATACAAAATCAGTTTTATAATTACCTTAGAAATAGTGGAAATACGAATGGGTTCTTCACAACGGGACATAAAAAGGGCAATCGATACCATGCCCAAGACTGCAGCAGCAGGAGACATCCGCCGATAGCATTACGCCTGTAGTCAGTGGCTCCACACATCTCCCTGTACAGCAAAGCCAAAACTGCCGAGCCCCAACTGAATGATCCGACAAGACGAAAGTCGCTAAGATGTCGCAACACATGCAGTGAACTAGGTTACACGATTTATCCGACATCAACAACCCTCCTATCAGCTGCAGTATGCATGCATGTGCATACATCTTAAACTCATCCTCAGAGGCGTCTGCGCTCAACTCCCGAAAATTGGCATCAAACCAATTTAACAGTATCATACCTCCGATAAAATTTTCCGGGACACGTCCTAGACTATCCCGACACAAAGTAGTCCAAGAACCGGAAGCTATCCCCGATATCACATCTCCATCCAGCGGAAGCCCCAGGTGCATAGAAACATCCTCAAGCGTGATCGTGCACTCTCCGCACGGTAGATGGAATGTGGGTCTCCGGCCTCCACCGCTCTACTAAGCAGAAATCAGGTCTGACTCTATCTTACAGTGACCCTGATATCTACCTATGTAACCGAATCCAGCCTCTACTAAATACAACAAAACACGGCTGAGTATCACTAACTTAAGATTCCTAATAAAAGGATCTAATACACGGTCCTTCTCCTAAAAATAAATAATTACAAAAATTAATTCTTAATCTAATAATCATGCATTAAATAAATCAACTAATTATTACTAACAATTTAAATTAAATTAAAACGTGAAAATATTACTGTATCAGCAAAGTGTCGAGATATTTAATTCTTAATCTAATAATCATGCATTAAATAAATCAACTAATTATTACTAATAATTTAAATTAAATTAAAACGTTAAAATGTTACCGTATCAGCAAAGTGTCGAGATATTTAATTCTTAATCTAATAATCATGCATTAAATAAATCAACTAAATATTACTAATAATTTAAATTAAATTAAAACGTTAAAATATTACCGTATCAGCAAAGTGTAGAGATATATGATTTTCATCCGAGCGAAATATACTGTCTTCATTATATATATGTAAAAGAATTATATTAGTAAAATATTAAATAAAGTAAAATACTTAAATAAATTAAATACATAATAGTAAAATTATTATAAAATATACATTAAAAAGAGAATATTTGAGAGAAATTTAGAGAATTTGGTGTGATAAAAGTGATTGAGGATGGAGGTATTTATAGGGAGGATTGGATGTGGAGAGGCGGGTATTTAGGGGTATAGCGCCCCCTGTACCGTATTATACCCCACGTGTCAGATACCCAAGTATAGTGCTGATCAGGGGGTACGTTATACCCACGTGGTGCCAAATCAGCGTATAACGCGGTTCAAGAGACGCGCTTTATTACTACGGGTGTTAGATCAAAAATATAATATGATCGATGTTAGATCAATAAATATACCGATTATCGGTGATTTATTAAAAAAAACGTCATTATAATCGAACCACACTTTTCAATATATACATATTATCTATTTATCTTATATATTAAGTCCCCTCACCCCTGCATTGCCAAGTGGACAATATAGCCATGACAAATGTCTGCTATGCCTATGCTGGTGCCACCGCGGTGGCCATGGGGGAAACCCGTGAATTTTCAGAATTTTTTTAACCCATCTACGGATTGTATATTGTCAAAAAAACTAGACAATAACAAAATTTTACAATTTAAATAATTTTTAATAAATTGCTATAATCAAATCTTGATCTGAGTGATTAAACACATTATTATTGAAAATATTGAAATATTTATGATTATAGCACGAATTTTAATGATTTCAATAGTAAAAGAATTATTGTTATTTTTTTTGAGATTTGGTTTAAGCACTAAGAATATAAAAAGTATAAACATTTAATATAAAAAGTGTAACATCAAAAATATTAAATACATATTTTTAATGAATTTTTTTAAACGACTAAAATTAACTTTACGTGTGTTTTCCGTCACGCCTGTTAACGACTAGTGACTAATTTGGAACAAACGATAATATTAGTGACCTAATTATAACTTTTAAAACATAAGTGGTGAAAACATAAACTTACCCAAATATTAGTGATCATTGGAGTAGTTTACCCTTTAATCTTCCGTAAATAAATGCTTAATTCTGAAACTTTCGAAATGGTGGCCCGCTCACATGCTTGCAAATGGGTTCCTCCTTACCTGGCTGCAACTCCTTTTTGGACCCTAACTTATGCACGTGTTTCTCACCTTCCTTTCTCTGCGTCTGGGATTTTCATCTACACCTTTTTTTTTCCCACTCTACAAATACAAATCTCCGTTCCTCATTTCTTTTCTGCTCATTTGCTGACACCTACAACTCTCTCTAGCAACTCACTGAGTTATTTGGCTTCGTCTTTTACAATTTTCACTTCCCTTATTTACCCTTTGGATGGGCCCTATCTCTGCCAAAGCCAGCTAGATCAACAGGGCCAGCAACTGCTTATATTAATATTAAACTCTTGACCAAGTGTCGAGCTTTTATTAAATGCTCTTCCCTCCCTTTCCCTTCTAAAATCTCTATCTGCTCCTTTTCTTGTTTATCTTTGTTATGGCCGAGGTTTTAGACGACGGTGAGTTTTGGCTTCCGCCCCAGTTTTTAACTGACGATGACTTTTTCGTCGATGGAGTTAAGGCTACGAACAACACCAAGAATCTTAAGGACGGTGAATCTTTGTTTCCCTACGAGTTTCCTGGCGGGTTTAGATCTTTCGGGTTTTCTTCGGATCTAAGTTCTCCCGTTGAATCCGTTCTGGGTTCTACAGAAACGGAGAGTGATGAAGAAGACTACCTCGCTGGGTTAACTCGTCAAATGGCTCACTCCACTCTCGAGGACGATTCCCGCCGAACCGACGCCTCTGGAAATCCAAAGGTCTGTTAAATTTCCTAACATGAATTATGTTTGAGTGAGTTTATTATATTAAGGATTGTTACTTACAAGCATTTCTATTTTTTCCTTTGGGTTTTAGGGATTTGTTCTTTCTAGTTCACCGCAATCCACCCTATGTGCGTTACCGAGCGGTTGTGGTTGCAAGGAAGGGTCTAGCCGGGGAAGCCCAAACTGTCAATCTCGAGTTTCTTCGCCTCCGGCAACGTGGGACCTGCTGTATGCGGCGGCCGGGGAAATAGAAAGGCTGCGAATGAACGAAGAAACTTATGGAGGATTCAGCAACGGAGGCCTTTTCGGTCCACCAGCTAGAAAACACTGTTTGAACCTCGACGCTTCTGGCTTTTATCCTCAACAGTCACTTTCTCATTATAAGCTGCGGACCACTCATGTAAGATACTGTAATCAGAGCATTCTGATTTATTTTATATCTTCTGGGTATTAATTTTCTTTTTTCCATGTTACGGTTGCAGTTTCAGCAGCTAGTGAAACAGCAAAACTCGTTGGCGTGGGGAGGATTCGAGCAGCAGCAGCATAACCATGTGGTCCAAAACAGAGGATGCTATGGTAATGGGGCTTTGGGGTTGTCCCCATCTGCATGGCCCCCTCTGCAACAACAGCCACCAAACGGATCAGGTATGAGGGCTGTTTTCTTGGGCAATCCAAATGCGAAAAGTCAATGTTCTGGAACTGGGGTTTTCTTTCCTCGGCGTTTTGGAAACTCTTCTGTACCCCGTAAGAAACCAGGTTTGTGACCATCAACCGATGTAACGTTTTAATATATTTTTCTCTAATTTTCATTTGATTTGATTTATTTTTTTGTTCTGGCAGCTTGTCCTGCTGTTTTGGTTCCTGCTCGAGTGGCTCAGGCATTGAATTTGAATCTCGATGAGGTCGGAGCCCAACCCCAGCTTCACCATCCTCGGCTTCGAAGTGGTGGGAATCTCGTCGGAAAGCAAAGGCAGCGAAATCTCAGGCCACAACAAGAAATCAGTCACGAAATTCTGTTACCCCAGGAGTGGACTTACTGACGACTTATTGCATGCAATGTTTTACTAATTAATCTGTCGGTTGGGTAGAAATTTTAAGGTTAGAAAAAGAATCAAGGGTAACAAGTTTGTTAGTTTGCTATAGGAAAAGTAGTAATACAGTGTTGTATAGGTGTTATAAGAAGGAAAATGTTGGTTTATTAAGTTGGGAATTAAGGTTTTTTGAGTTAGGGTTTAGGTTGAAAAAAATAAAAGGAATTTGTAGTTTCAGTGATGGATACCACACAGCCAACAGCTTTTGTTCGGTTTGGTAAGGCTACTAGGGAAGAACAGCATTAAGTTATGGGGTTATTTTACCATTGTAATTCCTTGTGTTTTGAGTCAATAAAAAGTTATGGATTTTGCTGCAAAATGTTAATGAAATAGAAGATGGAAGGCTCATCATTTTCTTTACTCTTCGTGTTCTTTCGTTTTGCCTTCATTTAATGAAATAGATTAAGAGGTCAAACAACATTAGAACATTGTCTTTGGAAGTCGGATTTGTATCTATTAGTAATTAATTATATATAGAAGGATCTTTTGCGTTCCCCAAGTCCTGCCGTTCAAGAAACTAAAAAGAAATGAAAGTGGACCAAAGCGTATCGGTGCTTTTACACGTGTCTAACATTAAGGTTACCTTGCTCTTGTGACCTTAGATATTTTTTTTACCTCTTTATATAAATCCGAGTCTCTCTTGGAACTCGTCTATATGTGAAAATGGGTTAAAAAGAATGAAAAAGGCATTTGTGGCAATCAATGCGGTTGCCAGCATGCACCAGCTGCTGGTGGTATAGACCATGTCCGAGTCATGTGCCTCAACCCACATGGTGATGGTGCCCACTACTTTTTTTTATTTATTTTGCGTGACGGTTTTTTCACGCACCCCACTCCCACGTATTTTTTATAGGTCGGTTCTAACGCTGCTTTTGCATTAGTGCTATGTTTACGATACAATACCATGTGGTTGTGGTGGGCCTTTTTTGGGCTTCTTATTTGACTTTATCAACAAATCTCTAAACTTCAAAATCCCATCGTTTTCTCACGTCTAACTTCCCTCCCCCCCTTTTTTGGATTGATTAGTGTTTGTTGATATTTTCCTTCATGGCCTAAAACCCAACGAGAGGTTGTCAATTCCAACTGTTCATCAAATCTTTGTGCGATTCTTCTGCTTTCACATCAACTCTGCTAAATATATATAGCCATTAGGCACCCCATGAATAGCAGTGCAACATTAATTGGGCAACCATTTCCCCGTCTCTCCTTTGAAATTGCAAGTATTCAACCCTATGAGAAACCTACCATGCATTATGTGTTTGGTTGCTTACCGAAACAAATGGTTGCGGTGAGTTGGGCACCATCGCCGACAAGCGCTGCTAGTAACAGTGATGGCAACTATATTATTCAAGAATAGTAAATTCATTTTGACCATAACATGCTTCCTTTGAATATATTAAGTTATTTTTCAACTATATAAAATAGTAAACTATAGTTGAAAAATAGTTTATGAAACTTAACAATACCCATGTGTAGTATCCTATGAGTTTTGCCAGGAAATTATTTGCATGGGAAGACGGGTGACGCAGGGCCACCCCATTTCTAATAATTTCAACGGTTTGCTCAACCAACAAACCAACCACCAACCAAACCTCTCATTTGGGAGCTATCGAAATAACATTAACATCAGATAATAGACCAAAAAAATTGTAAAACCTTAATGGAAAATAATGGAGTATGGTGATGTTTATTGCCGACACGTAAGGTTGTCTGATCCTTTCAACAAGTGACAAAAAAAAAGAGAGTTTATATGTGCAGGCGGCTTCGTTTCATAAAACAACAAACAACAAAACCCTATTTCCATATGCAATAGGATAAGAGGAGGTAGGGTAGTAGGTTGCCCCCAACGCCAGGTTGAGAGCAGCTTCCGTGGAATACCTCCGACAATCAGAAAATTAAAAATAAAGATAAAATGCAATACATGTATATATAAATACATAGTTGAAACAATCTTCATATGCAGTCTACATATACGCATCTGTAATGGAAGTAATCTTCGTTTCATAGTACCCAAGAAAAGATTTATCGGATTTTTCTTTTAAATATATCATATAAAAATATTATTAAGTATAAATGAAGAAAACATAATATATTACAAAATAAATATAAAGAAATGTAGGAAATATGTAAACAATTTGGGATATAATCTTCTTTAAACAATGTATTACAATATTTTGACTTAAAATTTAGTGTAATATATATTATATATGATTTTTATTTTAACTATTTTTATTCTTATGTAATCATATAAGCGTGCATCTTATTTCATAACGTTTTAGAGTATAATTTTGTTCTTACTTGACTTAAATTATGAACGTTTTCTTTTTACAAAATAATTCACTAATATTGTCTTCGAAATAAGTATTCTAATTTAACCGATAAGAATTATCATTGATTATTATAATATTATTATAACAATTGATTGTACTAACATAACATTCCACGATGCCATTTGAAGATCTTGAGATAAATTTTATTCTTTCTAGATGAATCTAATTCGAATAACTTTATCTGTAAACGTGTGAGTTTATCCAGATTTAAAATCGACACATATATTGCATTCTAATCATATTAGAATGTTAAAAAAATATTCATGACCCTAAACTTAATACAATTGGCTGCAGAGATGCTTAAATTAATTTCTAAGGAAAAAAGTATATATTATAAGGGATTCTATTAAAAATATTTGTGTGCAATACTCTTACAATTTTCATGTATGAACCCTTTATTTATCTATTATACACACACACAATTTATACTTAAAGCTTGGACGAGTATGCTCAAAAGAATTTGGTGGAGATTACGCAAATTTCATTGAGCTTAATTATGTCAAGAGTTCTTAGCAGCCAAGCCTGTTAAATGGTGTCCACTTATGAGAACTTGGCACCTTTTAGTGACACGTGCAGCACCATAGAGATAATTAACCATGGCCTTGATATTTTTACTGTAAAACGAGCCGCTAGCACTCCAGAGATCCGCCATGGCTTTCATGTTAAGATCCCAACATTTTTGGGGCCTTAATTGGTGGCGATGAGGATGGACTGCCGAGACAGAATCTTTGAGGAAACTGGATATTATAGTACCAGCTTCCAATTCTCTTATCTGTACCCATTCCAGCGGTACTAGCAATCCCTTCGGCCGTCAACGGCGCCCTCGGAATCATGTTACCGGCACAATATTCATGGCTGGACGTGTGTCGGCAAACGGCTTCCACGGGGGATTCGTTGTTCAAATGATTAGATCCATACGAGGGATGGATGATGACAGCCAATATCAGTAGAAACAATGGGGAGAAAACATGAGTGTGAAGGGCCATTTCTTATTATAAGTTGCTGGGGACATTTTAAGCCAAAGGTGGACCCTTTTTAAATGATGAAGAGAAACATGATTTGGGGATATGAAATAATTTACGTGTAAATGTATATCCACTCGATTTATATGATCAATAGTGTCAAGTTCATCACCACTTCCAATTTGTTTTCATGATACTTGGGGGAGAAGACTGCAATGGTAGGAATTCTTTCTAATTAATTGATTGTAAACAACAACAAAAAATCAATACTTTGTGGAATTAACATGAAGCCCATACCCAATGATCATGACAACAACAATGTTGTCAATTTTTTGTTTTAATAATGTGGAGAGATTATAATGTAGTATTTATTTATATTTTTTTAATCAATTGACGACGCGCACTCATATTATAGACGTAATTACTCAAATCGAAGACCTATAATAAAAATAACATTTCTTTTTGCATTGATGGTTATCTTTTCGATGATCGCTTAATGTGTTAGATGAACGTATGAGTCATGAAATTGAAATAGGTTTTCTTTAGATATTCAAAAGGAATTAACGAATTTAATGATTCCCACATCGAATGTTTGCTCAGGATTATTACAGATCAAGACCATGAAACTTGTTTCATTACAACCTTAGCCCCTACATTTACTATTTCCCAGGACTAATGTCGGGCAGTTTCTCAGTCTCTCCAAAAACCTTACTCCCAAAAACCAAGAACCCGACTGCATGGCCGAGAACCGCAGCGAGGAAGACGCCGCCGTTAAACGACATGACAGCCAGCATCACGACGTAGCTCAGACCGGCACGAATGGTATGCATCGCCGTCTTAAAGAACCAAGCGGCCACCTTGTTGGCCTCAGGCTTCACGATGCTGCGATACGAGAGGCATTCCACCATCACTGCCAACCCAAAAACGAAGAACAATGCCAATGCATACATGCCGCTGCTGGATCCGGGCCAACCCGAGAATAGGATTTGGGATTCGTGGCCCCAATAGAAGCTCGTGTGCGTGGGTGAACTTCGATGCGTATGGAGTGCGGTCGTGTTATGAGACGACGACGTTTGACACATGCTCGCCATGTTCATTTTGTTTCTTCTTCCTCTGTTTTGACTGGTGTTTTTCCGAAGAACATAAACAGGGTTTTAATTTTTTTTTGGGGGGGGGGATATAGAATTGTTCCTTTTTATTTCTTGAATATTTTTCACTTTAGAATCCTGCAAAACTGGTTTCCAAGCAATCCCTCTGTAGCTGGCATTTTCAATATTCGCTTTTTTATACTGTTTTTTTATGCAAGTAAAGAAATCACATCTTTTAATAAATCCAGCACAGGGGGTTTGCAATATCCGACCCAAGAAACAATGCTGTACTTGTTAATAAATACGTAATAAGCAGGCCCACACAATGACACCCGCACCAGCAGCAGACTTAACCGGATGAAATGCATCATCAGCATTCACCTTCGCATGTCCAGGCATGGGCTTCACCCAAGTGGTGTGTACAACGGCGGATGTGGTAGATGGATCACGTACCATATCATATACATATGCAGCCTGCAAGGCTCTGCTACCAGGGAGTAAGTGTCAACCCAGAATCCGATGGTTTTCATGCAAAAAAGTGTTGCGACAATTTCGAATATTCCAAAGGATGACAAGGAGATCAATAAATTGAGCCTGATCAAGAATCGTTCTTACCCATTCAAACCATGTAATGCATGATATATGTGAACAGAAGAGCAAGAAAGAAGGAAAACTAGCAGTTGTAAGGGTATGTCGGGCTTCAACACAATTGCGGACGGCATGCATGATTGGCTCATCGGGATTACCACAGAGACAACAATGACCATCAGAGAGGCACGCCAAATACAAGCGTCAACCAACTGGAAGTGCTTCATGAGCGAGTCTCCAGCCAAACACCTAAATCTTTGGTAAAGTTGGCAAACGAATTATGTATAATCACAAAGGAGATGATTAAGTTGACTCACTATTCTTCATTTCTTTTATTTTCATCCGGATAACATCAATGTGCGAGAAAATAACCGAAAAATTTATCACGTAGATAAAGACGTGTCCTCTGAAATACTCCTTTACTGAAAAGGTAACATTTTGATGAAAAAAATATGATAAAATAACTTGAGTGACCGAAAATACCTTATAATATACGATTTTAATCAATTTTTTTTTATTTGCAAAAATAACAACGAATTCGCAACTCGATTTCAAATTCGCATCACGAATTCCAATTTCACAACAAGAATTTGGAATTCGCAACACAAAATTTGGAATTCGCAACACATAAGTCAAATTCCCAACTCGAATTTGACAATTTCGCAACACGAATTTCTTTTTCGCAACAAGATTTTTAATTCACAAAGCGCGTTTCAATTTCGCAACACAATTTTATTTTCGTAACTCGATTTTTGAATTCGCAACACGAATTTTAATTTCGCAAAACAACTTTTATTTTCGCAACACAAATGTAAATAGTATATTCCGTAAATCGCAACTCATAACCTAAACCCCTAAATCGCAACTTAATCTCATCTCTTTCTCTCACTCTCTCCGGTGACATCCGTCTCCATATCCGGCGACATTCGTCCCCATATCCGGCGACCCCCTCCATCTCCATCTCTCACAGCCACCCTTTCACAACCATTCACGGCCACAAATGAAAAATCAACCACCGATGGTTAGTTTTTTTAATTATTTTTATTTTGAAATTTTTGTATTATTATTAGATAAATAATCATTTTCATATTTAAATTGATGTTAAATTTACTCGTAATTTCAATATATAGATTAACTATTTCACTTATATTGCTTAGTAAATTCATGCGGTTGCTGCCAATACTGCTAAACAGTTTAGTCTTTAACCTTGTGAAGTTAGTATTTGTCTTTGTTTTTTGGTTGAAGTAATGCAATTCATTCAAGTTTCAATTTGCAGAAGAAGAGTAGTTTATTCTTGAAACTTAAATTCGCAACACGAAATCGCAACTCGAAAAAGAAATTTGCTTTGTGAATTCAAAATTCGACTTGCGAATTCATTTTCGAGTTGTGATTTTCGTGTTGCGGATTTCATTATCGAGTTGCGATTTCGGGTTGTGATTTAAGTTTCAAGAATAAACTACTCTTCTTCTTCAAATTGAAACTTGAATGAATTGCATTACTTCAACAAAAAAACAAAGACAAATACTAACTTCACAGGTTAAAGACTAAACTGTTTAGCAGTATTGGCAGCAACCGCATGAATTTAAACTGTTTAGCAGTATTGGCAGCAACCACATGAATTTACTAAGCAATCTAAGTGAAATGGTTATATAAGTGCTTACTTCTGAAATGTTATCTGATGTATTTTGTGAACTATGATAGAATAATGACTTGGGTGAATAACGGGCTAGTTTGAAACATATTTGGTTATATTTTCCCTGTTTAATATCATGTATGTTTATTGTGTATAATTTGTAGTTTTTGGTATATTATTAGTATTATATCTAACTTAGTGATAACTCCGTAAAAGGTCACATTTTGGGACCTTTTCACTTAAGTTATTGAATGTTTAAGAGCTCATTTAGGACCATGTAGATGCATTTAGAAGCATTTAGTTGCATGTTGTGGAATTCGGTTTGCCGCGGCATTTTATTTTTACAACGGTGCTACTTTATGGGAAAGGTATTTGTCTGATGATGTGCAGGTATTGAGAGCAATGAAAAGAGGAAAGAAAATACTGTGACATAAGGAGATTGCTGAGCAAAATGAATTCGCCAAGTTCATCTGGTATTTCGAAAGTGCTTAAAGTGCGTGAAGATATTTTTGAAGCCAGCTGTCCGAGAGCTCTGCCCGAGAAATCCACCTCGAATATACGCCTGGAGGGATCAACGCTGCAACCACCGGTTTGCTGATGACGCCACCTGACCCTGCAATCCTGGCTGTCCTTGGGCGTCTGCCATGGGATTATGCCGGTCACTCAGCCAGCTACCCAGACTGTATCATCACCTGTCTTGCCCGACTCCCAAGCAAAGTTAACCATGGTTTGGGAAAGTCAACTCTTAGTTCAAGGGTTAATTTTCTCCAATAAATAGATGATGAAGCCACATTGTTAGAGACTTTGGTTCCACCCAAATTTGAGCTTAAAAAGTTAAAGAGAGAAGGTCTCATATTTCTCCGTCAATCCTACTTGTCGTGGCATTTCTCAGTGACAAGCCTGCGGGAGTGGTGTTCTAGACATCCGAGAGGAGCTAGTTTGCTGGGAGCAGTTCGTGGTGGCCGAGGGAAGCTCCGGCAGTGCAGGTCGAATGCTTTTTCTCATTCCCTTAGTTCTTTGCTTTCATATTTTGTTATTTGGGTTGTAAGGAACAGATAATCTTGCTTTGTGCTTGCTTATTTCGAACCCCACCATGAACTAATCCTATTTGGTGGGAGTTCATTTTGGATATTTAAGTTTTATTTCAATGAATGGTTGATTTTTCTATGCTATAATCTGTTTTGTTTATGGAGTTTAATGCCTTAAGGTTGTAGGAGCTACGAGAGTAGCCATTCCTTAGGATATTCTTAGGGTTCAAGAGAATACCTAGGTAACATATCCTTAGTGTTCGAGAGAAACTAGGGAGAAACTACATAAACAAGGGGTTCTAGGTAGTAACTAGGCCTAATCCACCTTAGAGATAAGGTTAGGATTTCATTCGACTAAAAAGAGTTGTGCATGAACGATAGGTTAGATGTTAATGCTGCCGCAAAAAGGTATTGTCGAGACATATCCTGTTATCTGGACCAATAGGATCACTGCAGGGGTTTACGCCAATCGGTTTTGCCAGGGCATCTTTAATATGTCGAGTCCCTTACTAGAGATAGCATAGGGCACCTTAGTAGACTCTTTCGGGTAGACTAGGTATAGAAGAAAGACCATTCGGAGAAGTAGACTTAGATTTTCCTTAGTGACTCCTATCACTCACTTCCATAGTTGCTTGTCGTGTGAGAAAGCCAAAGTCCTATTAATCAAATCATATATTTACATTTCATTTTGCCTTGACATTTTTATTTGTTTGCATTAAACACAATCTATTTTGCCACGACATATCCATTTGCTACCACATTACCATCGTTCCACTTCCACATCAGTCATTCCATTTTTCCCCTGTATTATCATTTGTATATACCATTACTAACTTTACTTAGGTGACAAAGTAAAGTGCCTTGACAAACTTATTTAATTTCCTCCAATCCCTGTGGAGATGATACTCACTTATCATTGTATTACTTGTTCGATTGTGTATACTTACACACATATCCGCACCCATATTTAGTACTCACAAAGAGCGGACACTTAGTATTTTTATTGTTTTTGTTAGGATTTTTTTCCGACTGCATTGACTTTAAGAATAAATTAAGCCTAGCCACTATAATTGCATCGACAATTACACATGTCCAAAGAAATTTATTTAAGAATACTTGTTTCGGGCCATGGCTGAAAGTACAACATTCAAGTGGAGATGCTTTGTTGACTCAATTGTTTCTACAAACCATGACTAATGATCTACCCGAGGGGATACAACGTGGCGATGAGGAGATATGATTTCATTTTCCACCGGCGTATACACGTTTTGGGCGGGAGGAGTTTTACTTGGTCACTGGTCTACGTTTCGGACGACACGATGAATTAGGTCCGTACACTAGTCATATCGCCACCCCATCATGGTTATTTCAGGTTTTTCCTGACCTGGAAAAGGTAAAGGTCACTTTACACGTCGACGATTTGATAAGATTACTTCACCAAGATGGTTTTACTCTGATGGATGATATTGATATTGTCCGAGTATGCATTTTGTTACTTTTGTATGCCGACTTTTTAGCAAAAGAGGGCAGACAACCTATTTATAAAGATTTAATATTATTGGTAGATGACAGATGCATGGAATGTGTTTCCGTAAGGTTAATATATATGGAAAGCTACTTGGAAAAAATTATTGTCTGCCTTTGAGGACCGTCGTAGTTTGCATGGGCATGGTTCCAAATACACTTTGGTAGGCTTTATTTGGGCCTTTAAGGTAAGAATTTATATATAATGTTTCCAAAATTAATTATTTAACAATTACTAAAATTAATGTTTGTGTATTATATTGTAGATTTGGATAT